AAATAATCGATTAAATAATCGATCGGTTATGACCGGTCATTTAACCTTAAATAACCAACCGCGGTCAACCGGTTGACCATCAACCGGTAATGACTGACCGTAACCAACCGTGACCGACCGAACCCATCCCTAGTTAGGGTTAGTGTTATGGGTAGTTTGTATGGTAAAATTGCCCAACGAAAGCTTTTTGTAAGAGCACCAAAAGTGGTTTCTTATGTAGAATTTGAAGATGTAAGCGAAACGGACGTTTGTTTTGAATTTTCTTGATCGTGTTACGTTACACCTGATCTTGAAATCTGATTCATAGTTCAGTAAATCTGCGCCACATACCTGCACATTCATTCATCCAAGTTGACGACAAGTCAACAGATCGAAAAGACAGCTGAGCAGGGTCACGCCAGTAACAACCTGGCCAGGTTGGGGCGATCAGATAAACCAGTGCGCAGCAATGCTCAATTTGTCCAAATCGGGTATATGAATAAAGTTGGCGTCGCATGAGAAAGCACATGCGTACAGATAAGTTTTGATTTAATCAATTGCTCAATTGGGAATTATAATTGCACTTTTCTATTTCATTCACAATCAAGCGTTGGCACTTGCCTTATTCGGAAGGTAATTCGAAATCATACTCCCTTATATTGAAACCTGCTTGCTTGAGCTCGTGACCGAGCCACTGCTCGTGCCTCATGATATAGGCGCTGCATCCCCGCTTAGCCACTTTTCGATCTGTTGCTGCATGTATGCACGCACGTCAACTCGAAATTTCGGAATCGGTTAATCGATCTACGGTTGATTATTATGTATTATTTTGAGCAACAATCAAAAACAAATATATACGCACTTTTATTACGTGAAATGTACTGTACGTATACGTACATATTGTCAATTACATATCATGTCAAGTGAAGAAAGCACACAAAGCGTTAATAATAGACGATTATCAGAAGATCAAGTCGCTAATACATCACTTATTGGTGATTCACAGAATTTTCTAAATCAAATTATCAAGGAATTATGCGATTTGTATAGTAAAGAAATTATGAAAGGAAACGATGACGATTCAATCCTTCATTCGATAACCAATTATTTGGCAAACAAGCAGCAAATCCCAGAAGAAATAATCAACTTATTAAGTAATCAAGAAAATCCAATTATTCAATCCAATCCTATAATTCAAAATATTCTTGCATATAGTTATATGTGTGGAAATGGATTAAAAAAGATGAAAATCAAGCCTTTCATCATTATTAAAAATCAGCAGAGATGGGAAATTCCATTGGAATTACTAATCTAGGCAATTGTTATGTAAATGGAATTGGTGTTGAAAAAAACAATCATGAAGCATTTATTTATTATAAAAAGTCAGCAGAAATGGATGATTCATATGGAATCAGTCATCTCGGTAATTGTTATAAGTATGGAGTTGGTGTGGAAAAAAATAATAATAAAGCGTTCATTTACTATCAGAAGTCAGCCGGAATGAACCATGCAAATGGAATAAATCAAGTTGGATATTGTTATCTAAATGGAATAGGAGTTGAAAAAGATGAACATAAGGCATTTGAATGTTATCAGAAATCCGCCGAGATGGGAAATACTACGGCGATATATAATGTTGGAAATTGTTATCTAAATGGAATAGGAGTTGAAAAAGATGAACATAAGGCATTCGAATATTATCAGAAATCTGCTGAGATGGGAAATACTTTGGCAATAAATCAAGTTGGAAATTGTTATCTAAATGGAATAGGAGTTGAAAAAGGTGAACATAAAGCATTCGAATATTACCAGAAATCTGCAAAAATTGGAGATTCTTTTGCAATATATCGCGTTGGTTATTGCTATGAAAACGGAATAGGAATTGTAAAAGATGAAGATAAGGCATTCGAATATTACCAAAAATCTGCTGAAATGGGAAATTTTTTTGCAATAAATCAAATATTACCAGAAACCAGCAGAGTTGGGAGACTTTTTTGCAATAAATCAAGTTGGAAATTATCATCTATACGGAATAGGAACTGAAAAAAATGAATATAAGGCATTCGAATATTACCAGAAATCTGCAGAGATGGGAGATTTTAATGGAATACGTGCACTTGGTGTCTGTTATCAAAATGGGATAGGAGTTGAAAAAGATGAACATAAGGCATTTGAATATTACCAGAAATCCGCAGAGATGGGGGATTCTTTTGCAATATCTCGTTGGTTACTGTCATGAAAATGGGATAGGAGTTGAAAAAGATGAACATAAAGCATTCGAATATTACCAGAAACCTGCAGAGATGGGAGTTTCTTTTGCAATATATCGCGTTGGTTATTGTTACGAAAATGGAATAGGAGTTAAAAAAGATGAATGTAAGGCATCTGAATATTACCAGCATAGCGAACTTTATTGTGATTGGCTGATTTTTGTAGATCATCTGGTCATACTAAAGTATTATTAAAGTAACG